GAAGAAGAAGAAGAAGAAGAAGAAGAAGAAGAAGAAGAAGAAGAAGAAGAAGAAGAAGAAGAAGAAGAAGAAGAAGAAGAAGAAGAAGAAGAGCACAGAAACCTTACAGAACAAAGATGCATCACTCCTTACAGAGTATTCCTTAGGAAAAGTGAATTCTGTCAGCATCCATTATGCATTTTATAACATGCTCTAAACATGTTTTGCCAATTCAGGTCATATTTTCCTCTTGGTCTGAACTAATCAGTTCTTTATCTGAAGCAGAGTTTATTATAAGGCCAATGTGGTCACATCAAACCCACTGAATTACTGAGGCCAAATTCCTTCACGTTGCTTTAGACTTATGAATGCAAGTGCAAGTAGACAGGATACAAGCATGCATGCGCCACACACACACACACACACACACACACACACACACACACACACACACACATCTAAGCACATACACAGAACATTAAACAGGAAACCTGTTAATAATTTAATGCTTCTTGGCAAAGCAACAAAATGTACCATGCTAACATGGTTTCTTCATCTAAACATAACTTATTTTCATTATAGTTTGTAGTAAAGCAAAGAATGGTAGGTGTCTGTCTCTAGGCACACAGTAGCAATAGCAAGTTGTCTTCTGCTAGGGATTCTCTTTTAGCTTTTTTTATTTATTAGTAGTACACATGTCATACATACCTGTGTGTGTGTGTGTGTGTGTGTGTGTGTGTGAGAGAGAGAGAGAGAGAGAGAGAGAGAGAGAGAGAGAGAGAGAGAGAGAGAGAGAGAGAGTTCTCTTCTTCTGGGATCTGGGGAATCAAACACAAATCAATCATCAGGTTCGTACAGAAAGCATCTTTACCCACTGAGCCATCTTCCTAGCCCTAGCAGAAATCCCTTAGGAGTCTGGTTTACATGAACCAACGACCATGACTTGCTACAAGCATAATGCTGTTTGCCATGTGTGGAGTTTTCAATGTGAAATGTCACTCATGAGTCCCTGTGTTTGACACCTGACCATCAGCTGGTGCCACTGTTTTGGAAAATTATGGAACCTTTAGGAGATGGAGACTGGTTGGAGGAAGTGAGTTCTGAAGCCTTGAACTGTTTAACTCCCCATACCTTACAGTGTAGCAAAGCAAAGCTGCACTTGGAAGATACTCCAAGTATCTTGTAAATTATTTTGCTCATTTCAGAGTCAGAGATAGGTCTTGACAATTGATAGCTCAGCCCCACTTCCTGGCCACTCTCTGCTTCCTTTTCCATCAAGATGGGAGATAAAAAGTCCCAGCTGCACACTCCTGCCACCATGACACTGCCTACTGCCATGCACTCTCCTCCATGATTGACTGTGTTCCCTCAAACTGTAAGCCAAGATCATCCCTCCCTCCAATTTCCTGTCAGCTATTTGCCCACAGCAAAAACAAAAGCAGCTAGTCTACATCTTGCATGTGCATGTTCTAACTTTTAAGTATATTTTGTTAGTGAATATTAATAGTACAAAATAATGGGTTTCATGGGGACATTTTTATCCTAAGCAAGCCGCTTTTATTGCCCAGCTCTCAGGAATTTTCCTGGAAGGACATTCTAACTCCCAATGGAAGACATAACTTTCATGCCCACCCAGCTCAAGGAACTCTTGCTTCTCATTCTTCAAAGTGCACGAGCTTCTGGAAAACAGAACCACTGGGTGTTTACACACAGTTTCTACGTGTTGTTCTCTTTAACTAGCTTCCTGTTAGGTTGATGGAGGAACAACTTGGCTAACAAGTTTGAACCTGAAACAGTTGGGAAACAAAAAAAAAAAAAAAAAAGATTAATATTTAACCATCTTGCCCACAAATAATATGAAAATATTTTTGTCTTATCTCCATCACTCCACATCTCTCATTTGTATTTCTTCCATTTATCTGCTCTCTATCTCTCTCTGCATCTCTCATGTTCTTTCTCATCTCCTACCTTTCTAGGCTTCATAACAGTTACTAGAAATAGCAGTAAAGGCCTTTATTAGGAATATGCAATGGTTGACATTAACCTGGCAGGAAAACATCTTGAATATACATCCTAACTTTTAAGGGGTGTGTGTGTGTGTATGTGTGTGTGTGTGTGTGTGTGTGTGTGTGTGTGTGTGTGTTTGTACGTGTGTACAATATATGTATGTGCATGCAGAATGCATTGCCACAGCATGGGTGTGGAGCTCCCTTGGGTATTTTCACCTTCCAACTTGTTTGAGACAGACTGTTGTTTTTCCATTGCATAAGCCAGGCTAGCTGACCTGCAAACTCCTGGGAATTCTCCTGTCTCCCTCTCAACACCCCACAAGTGTGCTGGGTTTATAGATACTCACCACCTCTAATTCCAGCTCTGGGGTATCTAGAGCCCTCTTGTGGCTTCTTGGGGGCTCTGCACATGTGTGGTGCACTTAACACAGACTCACACCCACACACCCACAAATAGAAAATAAACAAATGTTAATTTTCACAAGATAATTCCCTGTTGTTGTCAGGCTTTCTTCAGACAAGAGCACTTTGGTATTTCAAGTTTCCAAGCCTTACCCCTACACTTTAGAGTGTTGCAAAGCAAAGCTGCACTCAGAAAATACTCCAGGAACTCTCAATGCTGTGAATTAATTGGCTCATTTCAGAGTTTGACAAAGCATCTCTCAGAGTCTGCCCTGGTCCTTGCTAAAGGAAGGGTAGAATGGGGGAGGGGGGAAGCAGCAGGTCAGAGACCCAGGACAAAGTGTCTCCTGAGTTTCAGTAAGTGGCCTTGTCACATGAAACTTATGTCGGCTGTTAAGTGGCCGAGCCAGCTGCAGCCCATGTGCCACACAGGCTGGGCCTCTTATTTCTCCTGTCCAGTTATTATGCCTATAAATCCAGCGGCCACCTGTGCAATGTGCTCATCAGAAGAGCCCCTGAGGAGGCATTAACATAGCAAGGCTCATAAAACACAAATCCTTAAATGTAAAAACTGACACTTTCATCCTCTCCAGGCTACATCTATATAGATTTCTTTTTAATGAAAAAGAAAAGGCCTATTTTTTTTTTCACTTCCAGGAAAATGCCTGTGTGGGGGGGGGGGGTCACACAATTAATAATCCTGTTTTTAAATTTCCCATCATTGTGAGGCTGCCTAATTTTATTTTCCTATGAAATTATATGTTGTTCCATAATTAGAGCGCTTACCCTTGTCGATAGCATTTTAGTCGTGGAAATAATTCAGGATGAGCGTTTGAAGAACATTAGCTTACAGTACCAAACAACAACAGTGAAGGAGCTGAAGATGTCTGCATCGTCTTTCAATTGTCTTATGACATTGCTTGAAAATCTGCCATTTACCAGGAAAATAGAGAATGCGTCCTTTATCTTGCATCTCCACTCACAACGGTGTCAACTACATATTCTACCATTTTTTGGCAGCAATTTAAATATTATTTAATGGATATTTCAGTTCAAGGGCTGGAAGTATTTATTTGCATCTGTTTCTTCTATGGCATTGTAAACTTGTAAAAGTGGTTCTAAATGGACCTCTGGGAGAAGCTGAGAACATTGGCTAGGGACCCTCTAGTTTGCATAATTTACTTTCTTGGCATTTCCTACCCCAGCCCAAAGATCAGCAGAAGGCAGAAGCAGAGAAAGCAGGAACAAAAAAAGAGGTCATAAGCATCTTGCCAAAGTGCCCCACAGTCAGGAGATATATTGTATATGTGTACATTATGGGAAATGTTAAACTTTGAACAGAAAAGTAGGACCAAGTAAAACAAAAATATTCCATTTAAATGAGTCAGCCACAATAATGCAAGCTTTTCAACAAAACCATCTTGAATATAAACTAAATGTATTTTTTCCCTCTAATCAAGACTTGTGCCCCACATTGGTAAAGAGAGAAGAGGAGATGGTCTTTGGAGAAACAGAAATAGTATTGAGTCATAAAGTAAAACTAGTGGTGATGTACAGAAGCAAAGAAAATCTGCAGTAGGGTAGCCATACTGGGCCACAGATATATGCAAGGTATATGCTTTTTGTTCAAAGATTTGTTTTATTTTTAATGATGTGTATAGGGGTATGTACATGTGTGTGTTGGTGGGCATGGAGGCTACAGGAGTCAGATCCTCTGGAGCGAGAGTCACGGGGTGTGTGTGAGCTACCCAGCTTGGTGCTGTGAATCAAAATCAGGTCTTCTGCAAGAAGGGTATGTGCTCTGAACTGCCTGCCGCACCATCTCTTCCACCTGTAGATTAATTTAAATTTTATTATATGCATATGTAGCAGACCAGAGGACAACTGGTGGGATTCAGTTTTCTCCTTCCACCATGGGGGTCCTGGGGATTAAACTTAGGTCCTGCGGCCATCTCACAGGCCCATGTGTACTGTTGAATACATCCTGAAAGCTGAATGGGGTCTTACTGATAAAACATAGGACGTCATCATCAAAACCTTACAACCACCAAAGAAGCGGCAATTAATACAGGTTTTGTGATGCTCAGGGAAAGAAATGGACCCAATAATTATTAATATAATTAAATTTCAGAGTACAGAGAAAAGAATTCCTCTTGTCCTCAGTAGGTTCTTTGTCCTTGTGCCTGGGAGTTAATCTCCGGGAAAGTGGCTTTGTTTCCCGTGAGCTTTGGGCCACATCAGACATTCTACCGGTGGTACCTAGGATGGAGGCTGTGGGCCCCGTGGTATCAGCTCTACCTCCTCAGGAGGTGAGACTGAAGTATCTGGTTGACTTAGGAGGAACTGGCGGCCAAAGATCAGAGACTTGATGGGAGCCAATGAAAAGAACTAACGCAAGGCTAGGGAGAGGTCTTGACTCCCATTCCAATTCCCAAAGTTCATATGAAACTGGCTGCAGGGTAATGGGTACACTATTTTGTTCTCACAGCTACTAATTTTCTAAAGCAGAAGACCACAGCTGCGCATACCTTCACCATTATGACACCATTGTATACTGTCTTACTAAATGCAACCACACACACAAGCACATGCACACACACACACACACACACACACACACACACACACACACACACACAGGAGGGCCATTTACTCTGTGTCAGAAACTGCTTTTGGAGACCTTGCACTTACTCTCAATACTCTTCTATAAACCCTTATCATGATGGCGGTTCACTCACTGATACATTCTTTACATTAAAAAGAAAAAGGAAGACTTCTGGTCAACTCTATTCCTTAGTTGGTTGGTTTCTGTAATTTGTCAGCCTTTTAAAGGTTTCTTTGTTTCAGTAAACAGCCTTAAGCCACTTTGGCTCAGATTTGTATCAAGAAATTTTAGTGCTGATCTTCTAGACACCATTATGGGATCAGCAGTCTTGAAAACACAATTGCTAAGGCAAGATGCAAAGACCTGTAGAAACGTAGCGCCTGGTTCAATTCATAAAGTGCTTGCTGGACAAGCTCAAGGACCCAAGTTCAGAACCCCAGCACCTATGTAAAAGCCAGCCTCAGTAGTGCATGCCTGTAACCTTGGGGATAGGGAGGTGGAAGCAGCAGGATCCCTGAAGCTCACTGGCCAATTAATCTAGCCAACCGGTGAGCTCCAGGTTCAATGAGGCTATGTCTCATAAAAGAAGGTAGGGAATGATAGAGAAAGATTTCCACACTCTGACCTTACCACAGGTGTATGCACATATAAATAATCCCCCCCACACACACACATACATACACAACACATCCAAAAGAACTACAGGTAGCAAAATTGGGACTTTGTGAAGTAGTCTGGTGAAGTTTTCTGAGACACTGTTGGGCTTGTTTACAGAGACCAAAAAATGTTCAAGGACAGTGATTTCTCCTTATGTCATCTAGTATATAATTTTTAATACATTTTAGATAGATATTTTTCATGTTTTGCATACGTGCTAATTCTTTCTTCTCTGTACCATCATTAAAATATGTGGTAATAGACCAAAACACACATGTACACCAATTCAACAGAACAGATTCCAAAAACAAATCTGTGCATTTTAGTCAATTTTCCATTGACAAAACTGCCAACAATGCATGTGCAGAAATGACGATCTCCTCAGTAAATGATACTGAGGAATCATTTAGGACAGAGCCAAAGCAACAAATTAGACCCTTATAACATAAAAACCAGCTCGGGATGGATGATGGATGAGAGACTGAAATATAAAACCGGAAGACCTGAAGCTCTAAAGCTAGAACAGAAACAGGGGAAGTTGCCTGACAATGGCCGAGATGATGACATCTTCTATGACACTCAAAGGAAAGGGAAAGAAATGTGATTAAAAATGATAAGATAGAATAGTTTCCATATACTACAGGAAGCAATCAGAAGTAAAGAGACAACCTGTGGGGTGGAGAAGACATTTGCAAACCGCATATCTGATAAATAGTTAATAGCCAAACTATACAAATAAGCCATAAACCTCAATAACAATAAAAAACACTTAAGAAACAGACAGACGATCTGATATGACATTTTATTGTTTTTGGTTTGTTTAAAAACAGGATTTTCTTATGTAGTCTGTAGCTGACCTAGAATTCCCCAAGTAGACCAGGCTGGCCTCAAACTCAGAGATCTGCCTGCCCTGTCTTCCAAGTTCTAGGATAAAAGGTATGTGCCACCTTACCCAGCCTCCACTCAGATATTTCTTAAAAGGGGACCTACCAATAGCTGAAAGACATATAAAGAATGTTTACCATAAGGAATCATCCGAGAAATGCAAATGAGAAGAACCACAGTAAGATATCATCTCACATCTGCTAGAATGTAATTGGACTTTTCACTGGAATCATTGGCTCCCCAATAAAGACACAGAGACTTATTATTAATTATGAAAGCTCAGCCAAGAGGCTTGGTTTGGGCTAGCTCTTATAACTTAAATTAACCCATTTCTATTCATTTACTTTTTTGCCTCGTGGCTTTATTATCTCATCTCTGTAGAGCCCATCCTGCTTGCTCTGTGCCTGCCTGGCAACCCCACCCTTCTTCTTCCCAGTGTCCTCTCTGCCGCCAAAATCCTGCCAAGCTATTGGTCAGCTTTTTATTAAACCAATCCAAGTGACACATCTTCACAGTGTACAGAAAGATTATTCCATAAAACTAGAATGGCTGTTAACAAAAACATAAACTATGAAAAATTCTGGCAGATTTTGGGAAAATAGAACCATCGTATATAAATTGGGGGGGGGGATATAAACTTGCAAAACCAGTTAGAGAAATAGCATGAGAGTTCAATAAATAAATAAATAAATAAATAAATAAATAAATAAATAAATAAATAAATAAATAAATATCATGTAACCCATTGCTTGATGTATATCAAAAGAAAATGAAACCAGTTTCTGAAAAGGGCATCTGTGTAAAACCACATTCATTTCTGCCTTAGTTCGTAGTCAAGATACAGACACATGTTAACTTGTTGCAGTAATAGAATGAAACAGTCAGCTAAAAGACAGAATGCTTTATGGTTCAGTTTCAGAGATTTCAGGCCATTGTCCCCAGTCCTATTTCTAGGTCATTATAGACGTGCGAGAATGTGGCTGAAGGGGGTTATTTATTCCGTGGTAGACAGGAGAGAGCGACACAGGAAGGGACCTCATACCACCAAGGACCTGCCCCCAGCAAGCTTCTCCACACAGCAAGGACTGACCTCCTAATGCTTTCAGAATCTCCCAGAAGAACCAGCAACCCTCCCAGAAGCAACCAGCACATGAGTTCTGAAGGAGTTGTGCTATTTCAAGCTCAAAAAAGAATCAGTCTATGTCTACCAAGAGATAATTGCATAAAAACCCTGAAAGAGAGAGATGGTGGTGAGGCATGTGTCTGTCTGTCTGTCTGTTTCTCTGTGTGTATGTGTCACAGGATATTATTCTATTCCATTTCATGATAGAATATTATTTGGCCTTGAAAGGAAAGGAAAACTTGATATTTTGGACAACAACAACAACAACAAAAAACCCTGAAGGCCATTATGCTAGGAAAAATAATCTGGAGGGTGATAAACACTGAATATTCTCACTCGGGTGCAGAATCTCACAGCATTGAGCCGACAGTGGCAGGAAGAACCAGTGACTAACAGGAACCTGAAGGGGAAATATGGACAGATTCTGTTTAAAGGGTACAAAGTTTCCGTTCAGCAGAGTAGAGTGCTCAGGGAATGTATTACTCAATAACAGCTAATCAACTGCATTGTAAACTCAAATTTTATTGAGAATAGATCTTAAAAATTCTTAACACCACACACACACACACACACATACACACACACACACACACACACACACACACACACACACACACACACTCACACACACAGTAACTATGTGAGGTAGCCACCATGT